GGGACTTTATATTAAAATCTAGGGTTGGCTTTCCAGACGTTTTGGGCCTTGGTTTCAGTAGCGCTGTCAGCTTTTCTCCGGGAAAGTACAGGACTGTGGTGGGTATGAATAGCTTCATATTTTAAGTTTCAAGCCAGCAGATCTGTCATGGTAATTCAGGTATTTTAATTTTCTGTCAGCCTAAAGCTGGTAGGAGCTAGTCCTAATTACGCTGTAAAACCATTAAAATCAGGCATCCGACTGTTGGCCGTTAACTAACTATACACCTTCGTATTCCGCTATAATGAAATACAACGTTTTGCGAACATACCAATGTCAGACAGTATACATATCACGATTTTACAGAGTAAGATACATCTGCTCGATCTAGTACAAGACCTAGATCTATGGTTCAATCAATTGCAAAATTCCTACAACTGTGAGCTGACTTCATTTAACGACTTAACCTACTCCGTGCGAACTTTTATTAAGTGATTCTCTATCATGGCCTAGTTTCGGGGATGGAATCAGGGAGAGAGAAGTTCCGAAGAACCGATCATCCCGCTAGATACCCTGTCTCTGTTTCACAAGATTCGGTTCCATCGAACTTGAGGTTTACAAACGTCGATGACGCCGCCAACGGAGCCGAATCGCTAAACCCAGAGGATCGTATCGAGGGCGAATTTCCGTACCGCTTCCATGAAAAAATTTCCACTCAACCTATTAATGTTTCCGGGATCATGAATGATATTGCCCAAAGGTCCTGACACTGCTTTGATTTTGAACATATCGCTCCACTACAAAATCCCGGTCTATTCTTCGCGAGAAGAACATTTCTGGTAGGGGACTCTCTTTTTAAATTTGTCAAAGATAATATCCCAATCTTTGCCACTAGTGCCGCTTTCTTCCCAGAGGAAATCAAGCTCCTCGTCACTGTACCCTAGCCTATTGCTGACAGAACCAATTTGTTCCGTAGTAGCCGAAGGAATATGACAGCAGCGGCCTGCAAGCCCACTAGGGAGTTTAGACTTTAAGGAAAATTTGGCTCGTGGCTCAAAAACTTTCAGCATCCAAGGGTATATTAGCAGCCCCTTGCGGTCAATGAAGGATAGGAAAACCTAATGGAGATCGTACTACTTTGTGTCTGTAAAGAGGAAACAACTGGTATTGATTCTGCTAAGTTCTCATGGACAGGAGGGGAAGAGAGAGAGGAAGAGAGAGCGGAACTATCTGGTGATCTGTACCTACATGGGTGACCGCCTTCCGGCCACCCAACAAAACCTCATTGCAGGACGGAAGATTGTTACTCTTTATCTGCCGATAGACCTTATTCAGTATATTTCCAATTTGACGTTTTCTGAAACTCTCCTTAAAGCTCTTCAAGACACTATCTCATTGCTTCTCGAAAAAAGCGCGATGAAAGGTAGACACCAGAGAAAACAAATTTCCTCATTGGTTTGGGGTTTAGGGGTCCCCGAGCAATATATCGATTATTGAGTATATTTAGGACGAACTAAAATTTCTCGATATTGTCCATTCTCTTCTTAAGATTTCTCTTTATACACTCGGCCTCACTGCCTTTCTTCGCTTCCTCATTCTCCATTCTGCGTGCTCCCGTCCCCCCGCCTATCAAAATCCATTACTTCTGACAGTAATTTGTTGACTAGACTGCAGAGCCTAAATCAATTCCGATTAAGCTGAATTCTGATAGGTAAATATCCCCCATTTTAATTTCAGCTGTCCTACTGCGCTAGTTATTACGATAGATAATTGAACATTTTTGATATGGTACGGGGAACCGACCGAATGTCACCCACTCTAATCGTAGTGACCATGAGAATATTGATCATTGACAGAAATTTGCAGTACGAAAAGTATGATGTAATTTAACAGATATGATGGAGGCGCAGACTACGCAAGAAGGGTGTGATTAACCAGAAGTGAGAATAATGATGTATATCCCTCTTCACTAACTAGTTACGCATTCGAATTACTATGCGTTATATACTTTGCTTCATTGGTGGTAACATGCGGGTCGGGCTTTGGATGTGATATCCCACCCAGGAAACCCTGTACAATAGCCTTTCATTCCCACACCTCTTCATATTATCTCATCCACTCTATCTTGCATTCGTAGCTACACCTTACGGTTTCGCCCGCCAACCGAAATTTCTATTTACTCCACCCGCCCACTTTATTTCGGTAGATCCATGGGGATCACCCCAGACCTCAGGAGTGGCTGGCTGAGGATCCACACCGCTTGTTTCACGAAAATGATAAGTTGCTTGCGCAGGTATGCAATAGGTATGCATAGGTCTTTTCTTGCTGATGTCTCATATTTCTATGTTCTTCATTGAGATAAGCAGCGATCAGCCTAAAACGCTTACCCAGAATGTACATCAGGCATAGTGTTGGATTCAATATTCGTATTCCACCATACCATAGAGGTCTCAGGGGCCCAGGGGGTAACTGAATCGGACGTGTTCTGCATAAAGCACAGTGTCCTCAGACTCCATCTAAGCCTGATATTTCTCTGCTAATGGTTTTTTTCCAATGGTTTTCTATAGCGAGTTTGATATGCCCTCATAATAGAACTCTATAGGAATCAATAAGAAGAGATTGGCAATGGATACACCATTTATCAATCTTTATATGCTGCATACTTGGAATCGTATCATCAAGGCCACCTCGTCATTACCTTTTATAAGCTAAGCGGTGCAACATCGCCACGTTCGCTATGGGACCCTGAAGAAAAAGACGTGGAGAACAAATATCTTGGTTGCGGATTGTACATTTAAACAGAGGCACCTCACCGATTTTCGACTAAATAAGCATCCTTCTATTTACTTCATAGTAGAAAATTCCGAGGCAACTCTGAGCTATTTGGTAGCAGGAAGGGTCAAACATCTACTAGATTCCTTCACCCGTGTCCGCTTTGACTCTTATAAATAGCGGACGCTTGTTCGGAACCAGGTGACCATTTCTCTTCGGCCAATCATGGCTGCTGGAAAGCTCTAACTCCATATCAAAGTCGAACAGGATCCGAGCGAGGATAAGACTGGCTTTAATAATAACGAGACTGGATTTGGTATCTGATCAGCAATCTCATATATGTTTTCGGGGGCTGTAGTAGACCCACTTCCTGGCAACACATATTCGAGGCCCAACTCCAAACGGATAGAAGGCCTCACGCGTATCGTCCTCATATTTAGGGTCGTCCATCCATCTATCTGGGCAGAAAACCTCAGGACTTTTCCAAAACCTCCCACTATACATTATAGACCAATTGTGAATGCCAACAGTAGTACCACCCTTTACAAACTGGCCGCAAATATACACACCACAAGCAGGAACTCGACGAGGTAGGGTGCCTATAAATGGCAGAGCCATGCGAAGGCTCTTATTCATACACGCTTTCAAAAATTTAAGATTTTGAACTGCTTCCGCTAAAATGTCCTCGGAGACTGTAAATACAGTATGTATCTCTTTCCTAAGCCGAGCAAAATGCTCGGGACTTTGGAGCATATAGTAAATAACAGAACCAATATAATCAGGGAGTGTCTCAATTCCGCTAAGAATCACAATCAAGGCGTTCCTTTTTATCGTATCGGAATCAATTATGCCGTCCTCTTAATCATTCTCTATATAGTATACTTTGAAACGGTGAGTATTACATCAGAAGTTAGAGCCAGGAATCAGGACAGCTTTCTTACCCAAGTCCACACGGTTATCAGTGGTACCCATCCGCTCCAGGCGCTCAGTAATTGCTGTTCCTAAAGGAGGAAGTCTGCTGAATATAGTAAAGATATCACGACGAAATATCCATAAGCGGAAAAGGGGCGATAGGGATAGAGGAAGGTAAAGAAGTTGGGTAATATACTGCAAGGCCTTCGCTATCTTATATATAGTGCTCACCAAGGTGTGGGATGAAGGCCCCTTATCGATAGTATAGAAATCGTGGCCTATGGTAAGCTTCACATAGATATCGAGTATCAAGTTCCCAATCTAGGCATCGATATCGATGATATCCTCGTTTTTCGTTTCGAGATAAATTTTGAGGTTGTGGGTAAAAGATTCCACGTGAGATAATATCATATCCTCTTTCTGAAGCAGTTGCCCATATGAAAAGCCCCGGACAGCATTGTTCTTTTAAACTTTATACTCCGCACTCTTAGCGCCCACCTAGTTTCCATTAGTCAGAGAAATATTAGGATAAATAAATCAGGGTAGCATATCCTAACAAGAGTTTCCGAGTCTCCAAAGGCTGTTGCAAAAAAATCCCCATCTTTCTCCATCGGATATAATCCATGGTTATAGACAACGCTACCTTCAAATTGTAGTTTATTAGTGCATTTTCATGACCTTAGAAAGATAAGGAAGAGGGTTTTTCACCATAAATTCCATTCCAAGCCCTAGGATCAATATATGAGAGTTCATCTGGTACAATCCTCACGACCAGGCCATATTCATCGTGGAGTCTTTTAATCTCATATTTGTGGCATCCCTGGAGGACCCGCAAGACGTACCAAATCCTAGATACTTTGGTGTACCATGGACCGGGGAAATTCCTCAATGGATGAAACCATATATTATAAACAGCTTTAGAGGATAACCACAACTTACCAAATACATCCCGAGGTCAGTCAACAGGCATACATAAGGTAATCTTTAAAGAGAACCAGCCTCAACTTACCAGACTGGCAGACATAATCAATGTCAGGTAGCAAGAAACCCCCATGTTATCTAGAAGTGCCATTCCTTCAAGAAATAAATACCGATCGATTAGGTTATCAAAGAGTTCATTAGGTTAAACTGTCCCCCACATTTAAATATCCTCCCTTGTTAAAAAATCGCTAAAAAGTTTATTTCTTGGCGGAACAATCGCCATTACATGATAGCATTTCCTGTGGATGCAATCTATATTATACAACCTCTCGGTATTAACATACCGACGTACTCAGGTACTTGTGTAATGTATGTTGAATTATATACCACGCTATTTATACACCAAGAAAAACAAAATGGAAGTGGGTAAATCTTTATAGGGTAGACTATCGTAGGCAGCCACTATCAAATTCATAGGTGACATGTACAGTTGTAAACAACATCAAACCATAAAGAATTGCTTTTTTTAAGGAAAAATATCGATATCGAATATCGATATCGACTGTCAATCAAAGATTTTACTATTAGAATAGAAAGAAACATCCTAACTTCTTTTTAGGGATTGAAACTTCATGCTCATTTGAATCGATAGCCCCAGATGATCAGACTCAAGCTGTATACTAGATTAGTAGGTTTTATCCTAAAATGGAAATGTGGGCCACATTATATATTTGATCACATGGTTTTTCGTATATATTAGCCTCACGATAATTCTACTAAACTTTGATTATATGCGTACAGCACAATAATTGGAATTATATACAGTAGTACTACTATATATGGTCATAAATATCTGATTTAAAATCATAGGAACATCCCATTCATATAGATCACATTCATATAGACACAGAGTTTTGGAAAATAGTTCGAGCTAATGACATATAAGCATTATATCTCCTCATTTTTATTATTAGATTTTTCAGTTTCTATCCCACACAACTGGATATTTAATAGATGATACTTCCTCATGAAATGTCTTCCAAGTCATTCCCATCATCCCGACTGAAAACATCACGTCCGATTTCTCTATCCTTTAAGAGTAAGACAATCATATTGCCGCGGAGGCAGGATCCTACGAGACACTTTGTACCTGATTCCCTTCCAGTTCCCCGAGAAGCATATAAGAGAGAAGAGTACTTTTGCAAGTTCACTCCTTGTATCCACCGTGATACTCATCTCGCCGATTCAGGGTGTTGGCAATGTCAGATGGATCTTCTGGGTTCTTAAGGGGCTGCTTATGCTGCAGCGGTTCGGAGTGGAAGCAACAAAAGCTACGCTGTTGGTTGTATCAACCCGACCGTTGGTAACTTTACAGCTCTATATGCAGTTGAAGCAATTCCTAAGCGGCTTGCTTTGATTTCATACATTATTAAGTATACGTACGTGCATGATGACCGTAAGTGGCCCCCGTCATGCTCAAATTGGCCCAATAAACCAACTAAACATTACAGTCATTGAATATGCCGAAGAGAAACGCGAGTCAGAAGTGAGTATTTACTTTTGATACATTTATTATCTTTGCCTCTTCTGACAAGACACATTTTGCAGCTCTACAAAGCAAACAAGCAACTCACAGAAGGCCTCGAGGAGTATGGGGATGGAAAACTATCTACGAGAAGCAATTTGAAGAGACAAATGCAAGCTAAAATGGCTACGGAGCTTCTAGAATTCGACTTAGAACAGGGCCAGGTTATTCTCCGTCTCTGGAAGGAGATGTCAGACGTGTTTGTGGATATCAGAGATCTTGACTTTCAAACATTGGAAGATTATTTCATATTCCGCGCTGTTGATGCAGGATGCCCGTAAGATATCATGTTTCGAGCGAGCCCTAGTGAGGATTCTCAGCTAACTGCGCTGAATAGGTGGACCATGGCCTTGATGTGTTTTTCCATGGATTTTTACCTCACGGCTGAAGAGACCGCACAAACTTCCAGCATTACAAGTGCCGCATATGATGCTTGGGTTCTGGTGAATGACTACTTTTCCTGGGAAAAAGAGCACAAGAACTACGAATCCAACGGAAGCACCGGCCAGATTGTTAGCGCAGTCTTTCTTTTCATGAAGTGGCATAACATCGATCCGACCACGGCTAAGAAGATGCTCCGGAGTGAGATTATTGCTCGCGAGGAAAGGTACTGCCAGCTCAAGGCCGATTACTTCGCTCGTGGAAACGTGACAAAAAGCATAATCAAATGGTTTGAGTTACTGGACATTGTGACTGCTGGGAACTTTGCGTGGAGCATGACCACTGCACGATACCACGATGACGTTGAAGATGCGTATCCGGGTTTGCGGGTTGTGAGTCAGAAAAAGAAAGCCTCTCATCCTTTCAGCAGCCTAAGCAAACCAATCACATCGCTTACGATAATTGCAAAAAGGGATAATTTTGTGGGATTCGAAACCCTTGATTCCCCGAACATCCTAGGATCTAGCACGAATGGTGAAGCTAGCAATGCACCCATCAGCCCTGCGTTATCAGAATTCGAGAATCAAAGAGACGATACCCCCCTCCATATCTCGGAATTTGAAGAAGTAAGCCCACAGCCTCCAGATACTGGAGATGTACTAAGCAGAATCTAGATTGCATTGGAACCCTATGTCTACCTCAAGTCTCTACCGTCAAAGGGGGTGAGGAATGCAGCAATTGATGGTCTTGACGTCTGGTATCAAGTCCCGGAACGATCTGTTATAATCATTCAAGAGATTGCCGATTTGCTACACAGTTCCTCCCTAATGTATGATTTTCTCTGATTCTTCGCTGTGTCAATATCCCGGGCCATTGACAAATATGAACTAGGGTTGATGACATACAGGATAACTCACCATTAAGACGTGGGTTCCCAGCTACGCATTTGGTTTTTGGCATTGGCCAGACAATCAATTCTGCAAACCTTCTACTGCTGAGAGCCTCAAGGGCTGCGATGAAACTGTCACCCAATGCTGCTGCTATCTTCACAACCAGACTGATAGAAGGCCACATTGGCCAGGGAATGGATCTACACTGGACAAATCAGACGGTGGTTCCGACAGAGGAGGAATATTTTACTATGATTGATGGTAGTATGTTCGATCAATTACCCTCCCCAACGCTCACTTAAATGCTGATCATTATTCTATCTCAGAAACCGGCGGTTTTTTTGTTCTTGTGGCCGAATTGATGCGCTCCGAGGCAACAGTGAACAAAGACCTCGATGTCTCACCCTTCATGAAGGCCGTAGGCAGGTTCTTCCAAGTCCGTGATGACTATCTAAACCTCCTAGATGCGGATGTATGATGAAAACCTTTTCTTTCTATGACAGGGTTTTTTAACTCTTGATTCTGTTTTTTTTGACTGCGCTTACCCAAATTGACAGTATACAAAGAAAAAAGGCTTCGCAGAGGATCTAAATGAAGGCAAGATCTCTCTACCTCTTATCCATACCTTGGCGAAGAGGACAATATCGCGGCCGATTACTCAATATTCTACAACAGCGCAAAGTTGGGAATTCCCTTTCCGCCGAGCTACGGAAGCTCGCGTTGGACGATATTACAGCCGCTGGCGGACTAGAGTATACAAAAAACGTCATATTGGGTTTACAGAACAGGCTGGACAGAAGTCTGACACAGTGCGAGGAAAGGGCGGGGGAAAGCAACTGGATACTACGATTGATGAAGAAGCGATTGGAGCTTTGAAGCTGAGAGAAGTTCTTCGTCAATACAGTGAAAGACTTCAACCACACCACGTGAGCATGGATGGCGTTTTTTGTCGATCTTCAATCTCCTAATTCTCTTATCGCTTTTTACCTTGCGCAGCATACTTCGGGTCTCTGTTTGAAATCCAATGGAAACTTTTCAACATCCAAACCCAACAATGCGAAGATAAACTGCTGGTAGGAGCACAGGTCATACTGCGGGAGGAAGCTGTACCTGCGTAGGTGGATATTCACAAATGCCCTAGGGCTTGCAAGATCACTAGGAGTGTGCGCCTAAATCAGGTTACTAGAGCAACGAATATGTTTTTTGAACTTGATAGTTAGTGCAGCAACAGCCATTAAGCAAATATGATATAACTAGAATGAAACAAGCATAAGCAAGATATATAACCAAATAATCCCTGATCTCTATTCGTCGCCTGCTTCACAATCACCAATGATAATAGGGTAAAACTCCGCGGACTAGCATAAGGATTACTTTCTCAACCGAATCATGAAGGCCATGGCTATCTTTCGTCTAAAAAAGAGGTGCTATTTGGTGGCTTATTATTATAAGCGATAGACTTCTGCCTAGAACGGGTCGATGACCTCCGGGGGACAATAAAGCTAGTTGACATTTGACTAGCTTTATATTCTGCTATTATATACAGCTCCTGAAAACTTCTCAACTAGGTCATCCTAGTTAACTGATCATTATTGCCATCTTTTACCAGTAAGATATATAGGAATACGGTCAGAATGTTTATATCTCGAGTAACCTGGTTTTAGCAATTTAGGACTACGTTATCTCCTAGGAAGCAAAAAGGCTCCTAATCGTTATCTTCAAGGTCAACTAGATCAAACTCTGTCTCGTATCTCTGCTAAGCTCATTAGGCTAGAAGCTAAAAGTCAGCCGTTTTTTATATAATCCTCTCTATATATATGCGAATCGAATCATACTGAGTTTCCGAGAGCAATTTCCACAGATATAATGATATATTGCGAATCACCGTCTGAACTATTGCTTAGAGAAGACTCTCTTCGGCATTATGATTAAGCGAAAGAAGAATTCGTTAGTAAAAACTTTCCTTCTTGGTATCGTTCTCGGCGAGGTGACTGATTTTAGAATCTTTAGGTAAAATGTAATTAGGCTAGAAGATATTTTTGCAAATTTCCCTTAAAAGAATAGCTAGAGTCATGGCTAGGCGTATCGCTTTAGTTTCGGGGGAGTTTGAGGGTACCAGGGGGATATATTGCTGAGAAAATCTAGCATTCTCTTTTCGAAGCTTCTTCTAGATCGATATATCCTTTGAGACAAACAAATGAGCGGATAGGCCATGAAAGGGGCTAGATATATAGAAGTCATGTATCCCTCTGAAATAACAAGTCAGTTCACACCTCTGAACTACAATAGGTTATGAGCTTGAGAGCATAATCTCGGGTGTCGTCTCTACTCATCTGAGAATCATCTCATGAATCTTGATTATATATCGACCTCGCTTTCGCAATCATCATTATATCTGCTCTGGTCCATGACTCTCCTGACAGAGCCGTCACGGCCATCGAGCCTTTGACAGGAAGCGACAACTTCGCGACCTGGAAACGTCTCATGACCTCCTACCTGAAGGCCAGGCAAGTCTGGGATGTAGTATCGGGCGACCTTCAGCGTCCCGACTGTCTATTCAAGTACGCCAAACCTATTACGGCGGATATCCACCCCTTAGTGGAGTCCTACCTCAATGGGGCGGCGAGGTAGCGAGCCATTGAAGCGTGCCTCGAAGTGGAGGTCCAGGCATTCGAGCGTCATTGTGAATGGTCGCGTCGTGAAGCCGAGGCCTACCACACCATCTTCCGGTACCTGTGCCCCTACATCAGCATTCATATCGCGGGACTAGAGACGTCCCGTGACCTCTGGAATGAACTTGAAGAACGGTACCGACGAATGGAACTCGCTACTTTCTGCCCTAAGAACCGAGTCAAAGTTCCTTTTGGCTATAGCGCCATCTTCTGCGACACTGAGCCATCCTCAAAACGTGCCGTTGAGTGCACGGGTAACCTGGTTTACTAGAAAGGTATGCTCCACACATTTCTTTTCACTTTTGAATCATGCTAATTACACCAGAACGCGATGATGGGGGTCATTTTGCTGCTCTAGAAAACCCAATGATATTTTGCAGGACTTACACGAGTTGGCAGAGCAGGAGTGGAAGTTCTAGACCCCTAAGTCAGAGATGAGATTATGCCTAACCTTGGAATGATGTCTCAATTTTATCCAGACTGAACGGTTGCTTTCTTTAATTGCTAGGAAATTTCTCCCTCTGCTCTTGCAAGATTTCTTTCAATGATCAAAAATAGGATTTACCCAGAGCTTAGCTCAGCTTATTCAGTGTAATAAATTGATATATGTGAATATTACTGTTGCCAATAAATGCATCGATGAGGAATTTGCATTAGGTCAAAGTATGTCCATTATTTTTTTATAACAGAAGGAGTGCATCTCGCGAGAGTATCAACTTCGCATTAACCAAATTATCACTTCAAAACCAAACAACCTTGGAGACTTTTGATATCGCCCAGATGCTTGGTGTTATAGTATCAACTGCCTGTTCTCATTAGATCACACAATGTTCTTACCCTCAGCCGGTCTCGTATAATCCTAGGCCTTCTGCTTTCGCTTAAGCTTGTGGCGTATGGCTTCTGCTCCCTTGATTGCATGACACATCGCTGTCAAAGTTGGATTCGATGCATTGGGGCCCGAGATAACGTTGAGACCGCCAACGTAAAGGTTTTCGATTCCCCATATCTTAGAATGCTCATCACAACACGAAAATTCTTTTTGTTGGGAGTCTTCCTTCTTCGGATCTCTCTTTTGAGACTTGGTCGTACCGCAAACATGAAGAGCTAAGCCGGGAGAAAGGAATTGTGGTTCTGAGCCCGGAAGATATCCTCCCAATACACCTGCTACCTCTTCCATGTCCTTCATCATCCTATGGCTGTCCATGCGGTCTTGTTCATCGGGCTTGTAAACGAATGTGGGCTGGGGCATGCCATATGCGCCTGTGAGCTTCTGCGAGAACTTGACTCGATTGTCCCAGTTCGGCTTGGCCTGGCCAAAAAATCGGAGATCAACGATGGTGCGTGTATCAATTGCAGGCGGAACTGCACCATAGGAAAACGCGTCCCGATGAATCTGCGTATGCCATTCGTGCTCAGGGCCGACAGGCAGCGTGATTTGAGGATCTAGGTCGTCGAATGGAATTTGCAGAGGGTCGGCGTCTTTGTCAAACTTCTTTCTGTGTTCAGCGCACTGTTCATCCCATTTGGATCCCTGAAGCTCCTTGACCCAGTCGTCTTTCAGGACTATTTGACAAAAGCACATTGTCTGCTCGGTCAGATTCCGTCCCTGTAGAGTGCGTCAGTGAGTCATTCCGTTCAGATGTGGTGCACGGCCCATGCGATACCAATGCTGGAAGATACATGTGTTCATTCGACAAATCCGGCCGGTGCTCATCCTTGTCTTCCGGGATAAATCCCGATTTGTAAAGGAGCTGCGGCGTGAGAATTGGCCCGGCGCAAACAACCACGTACTTGGCTTTGATCCTGATTTTATCCTCAGGGTCCTCCGGTGTTCGAGGCTTAGTAAGATTCTTGACAATAGCGGAGGTAACTCTTGGGACGCCATTCACGACCTCAGTTTCGAGTTTTTCGCAAATGTGCTCGTCCCGCAGATCGAGCCGACGAGTTGGATTGTAATCCAACAGGTTACCCAATACCGTGGAGGTAGATGACCAATTTATCAAGTTTTTCCCTTCCACTTTCTTCGCGGCAAGTGGTAGAGGTTTGACATCTCGTTTTCCAAACGCATTCTGTAGAATTTTCAGGATCAGTTGCTGGCGAATCGAGCTCCTGAGGACCTCTCCCTCCGTGTCTCTATATAGGAAATCATAGAGTCTAAGTACCTATAAAATAATGACTATTTATTATTATTTTAGTATCACTAGAAAGCCCTTTTCTTAAGCATTCTAGATCATATCTCATCTTTTGTATCCGGCTAGTATAGTGTCTAGAATTCGCGGTTAAAGTTAAGGTATATCTTTGAGGTTTAGGGCTATAGGAAGAATGATACTAACCTAATTCGGCTATATTTTGTATATACTATAACTACCTCTTAACTATATTTTAACCCTTTGAAATTTTCAGTACTTATAGTAGGGACCTTAAATTTATATATCTAGTTTACTACTTTTAATTTAGATAAAGATTGCGCCTATAGTAAGCGATTAAAATTTACCTATATTTTGAGGTTAGTTATCCTAAAAGGGTAATTTTCTTATATATACTATAACTACCTCTTAACTATATTTTAACCCTTTAAAATTTTGAGTACTTATAGTAGGGACCTTAAATTTATATATCTAATTTACTATACCTTAGTAATAGCTATTTTAAAATTTTCCTTCTATAAGTTAATCCTCTAAGTTAATCCTCTAAGTTAATCCTCTAAGTTAATCTTCTAAGTTAATTCTCTAAGTTAATCTTCTAAGTTAATAGTCTAAATTAATTATCTAAGTTAATCCTCTAAGTTATAAGTTAATCTTCTAAGTTAATCCTTTAAGTTAATTATCTAAGTTAATTATCTAAGTTAATCCTTTAAGTTAATAGTCTAAGTTAATTATCTAAGTTAATCCTCTAAGTTAATTATCTAAGTTAATCCTTTAAGTTAATAGTCTAAGTTAATTATCTAAGTTAATACTCTAAGTTAATCCTCTAAGTTAATCTTCTAAGTTAATACTCTAAGTTAATACTCTAAGTTAATCCTCTGAGTTAATCCTCTAAGTTAATTATCTAAGTTAATTATCTAAGTTAATCCTCTAAGTTAATCCTCTAAGTCCCTTAGTTATTATATTATTTAAGTTTCCTTAGGAAATTAGTCCTTATTTAATAATTCTAAGGATTAACTTTATTAAAATCTATACTTAGTTTCCTAATAGCTAAGGCTTAGGTTTTAATAGTATTATTAGGTAGGCTATATTCTTAGCTAGAAAAGTATCTTTCCAGCCTATTCCTAGATACTAACCCTATCCTAATTGATTATTATTATATATTTCTAGGGTATTGATATAGCCACCCCCCCCATAGATCACACCACCCCCCTTTGGATCAGACCACCCCCCCCTGCCTGAATTTTCAGTACTGCCTTCCTAATTTAGTTGAGTACCTACCTCGATACTTGCTTCTATCTACTGCTCTCCTCACCGCCTCCTAATTTATATACCGCTTTTATCTTAAACTATATAAGATAGTAGCAGGACAGTAGGTACCTACAGTTTATATATAAATGTCTAACAAAATTAAGTCACTCCTGTCACTCGTATATATATATATAGATTAGATTAAGGGTATTAATAATCTAATTCTAGTTTATAACTTTTAGTCTACCTTCTTCTATCCTATTACTCTATCAATCCTATCACTTTAATTACCAATATAGCCTCCCTAGGCCTTAATTACCTTGATTCCAATCCTAAGGACCTCGAGGTTATTCCTAAGTCCCTAATTAAGATACCTAGTACCAATCTAGGTACCGTTATAAGTACCAAGTATCTACCCACTAAGCCAATCATTAGGCTTAGAAGTATTAAACCATATATTTAGCCTCTACCTACTCAGCTAATCACCGTAATAAGTACCGAGTCTCTATCTACTCAGCTAATTATTAGGCTTAGAAGCATTAAACTATATATTTAGCCTCTACCCACTTAGCTAATTACTATAATAAGTACCAAGTCTCTATCTATTAAGTTAATTACTAAGCTAATACTAGGCCCTATACCTATACTAGGCCTTTTTTTCTTACCTCTTCCTCCCTTTAACTAATAATATAATACTATAGAGTATAGAATAGCTATAATTAATAACTTTGCTTACTAGTATAGCTATATAGTTTCAACCCTCCGATTAAAGTATACTAAAAAGGGCGTTTTTAAGACTATTCGACTATATTACGACTGAGGTTATGCGTAGCGAGATCGCCTAGACTATAACTATATCCACTAGACTATAACGCTTATAAACTAATACCTATTTATTATCTCTCTTTACCTTTAATATAAGACGAATACCTAGCTTCTAACCCTTAAGAATACTACCTATAACTATAAGGGATCCCCTAAATCAAGCTATATAATTTACCGGATACTTAAGACTTAGGAAAAAGTAATATATATTAAGAAATAACTTAAATAAGGCTTATTAACCTATTATATCCTTACTAGGATTTAGTAGGATGATTCTAATTTAGCTTTATAGTCCTATAATATCTATAACTTCTAGAGAAAGTTATATATAGAGTTTTTAGTTAGTTATATACCCCTTTAGGTATTACTCTAAGAACTTCTGAAGGATAGAGAGTGGTTCTTTAGATATAAGGTTAATAGTGAAAACCATATTATAGCCTTATTCTATATCTATAAATCTAGTATTATAATACTGAAGTTAAATCCCTAGGTTATCTCGATAGACTATATATATAAGACCAATTGTTATAGGCTTCTATTACTTGATATTATTAGATTCGCTACTATAGGTTCAAGCTTTTACCTTAGCTTTATATTTATTAAAGACGAAAAGTGTGAAATATATAAACTTATTCTATATTACTTAGCTAAAGTCTACGAGTCTCTTAGACTCGAAGAACCCTATACTATCCTTATAGATAAGGAATAGGTACTATTAGATACTATCGATAAAGTATTCCTAAATACTAAAGGGATACTTTATATATAGTATATTAATATATATATCTTAAAGAAAGTACGTCTAATTCTTACCGACTAGATTGCTAAATCCTAATAAGAGAGTACCTAGTCTAGTACTAGTACCTATACCTAGAGAATAAAGGCTGAACTTGAAGAGGAATATTACTAAGTCGATAAGGTCTAGAAATAAATACTGAAACAGTAGAATTGTATTATCTACACTACTACTATTAAAGGGATGACCTAGGGCTAGGAGTTCTTTTAGGAAAACTATAGTAATCCAATCTTTAGGCCCCTACTTAACTATCTTTAGGATAAGTAGATTAATAACTATCCCTAGCGGTTTCTCTATTACTATACCGCTAAGTATCTCTATCTTAACGAGATAGTAACTTCTTATATAGAGGGTGCTTATTAGTTATTTAAACAAGACCTCTAGGTTTCGATAAATAACTTACTAGTTATTCTCCGGATTTTTAAGTGTGTTATTAAGCTTTAATTCGCTAAGATTACTAGTAAGATTAAGAGCCAGAAAATCAGAAGGCTAACAATTGTTTTGTAACTATATAAACTACTTATTAGACGAATCTTAGTGAAAGTAATTTAGTATATAAAAGATATCTATATAAGATACCTCCTAGAAGCAGAGGATAAACCACTAATTCCCCTAAATTGCAATTGTAATTCAAAGGAAACAGTAGGGTTCCCTTATATCTATATCCTTAAGTAGTATAAGGATAAAAGCCGATACCTTAAGCTATCACTCTTCTATCAGTATTAGTATTTATAGAGTATAGACGTACCGCTAATTAATCTATTACTTCTACTTTAAGATCCCCTTCAAGTACACCGCTAAGGACGTCTACCTAGCACACAGAACTTTACTTAGCCTAGCACTCAGCCTAGTACCTAGCTTAGTATATAGCTAAGTATCCTACCAAGTACCTAGGGTATATAATCCTTACTAGATCCTCTTACTTAGGATCAATCGACTTAGCGCAATCCCTCTAGATTTAAGTATATACTCCCACAGTAATATGGACGAGGACGAGGGCGGCCGCGTAGACGCGGCCGGGAATATAGAGCCAATGCTATAACTGAGGGTAGTGATACTAAGACTGTAATATAGGGACAGGGACAAGGACGGAGACGCGGCCGGGAATATAGAGCTGATACTATAACTAAGGGTGGTAATACTAAGACTGTAACATAGGGATAAGGATAGGGATATAGAAAGCGAGCTCGAGGAGGCAGTACTTTATAGAGTATCTTCTTTATTAAAATCCTAGCTTAATATCAATAGCGCTATCAGCCTTTCCGCCTAAAAACAACGGAGTCGGCTTTTCTACAGAAAATATCTTAAAGCGGTAAATTTCTACCCTAAACGTACAATTTTTTCTATATATAGGCAGAATTATATGGTAGAAAAAATAAAGTATGGCAATATTCCTGGTTATAATAAATTAGGAAGGCAGTACTGAAAATTCAGGCAGGGGGGGATGGTCCGATCCAAAGGGAGGTGGTGTGATCTATGGGGGGGGTGGCTATATCAATACCCTATTTCTAATATTATTAGAACTATACCTAAGAGAAGCGAGATTATCCCCTTTTATATATAAAAGTCTATAATATATATAGCTTATAGACTTTAAGAGTAACTTTTATTCTAATTATATACTTTATACTTTTAGATACCTTCCTTTATTTATCTAGTTATATATAGTATTCTAACTTATATTTATAATACTTTAATAGAAAGTTAGGATTTCTTACTATTACTTTATATAGCCGCTCTCTTTATTTAAAAAAAATCAAGGTAAAATAAATAATTAATTTATTTGGGGTTTGGGGTTTTGGGGTTTG